GTTAATAAACTGAAATGGCAGAAAAGACGTTCAGTCATCTGGAGTTCATTCTCTCTTCGTTGTGTAGGTGGTGTACATGTTCTTGTCTTTGTGGCGTTTTGTGCCGATGAGGTGATGACAATGCAAAGCCCCGTCTGTATCAGTGTGAACAGCTTGATTTTATCTTATCAACATCAAACTCTCCTTCCTCTTTTTGCCATTTAGAGGAACAAACTGAGATGCTTCAGACTCAGTCAGCAGGTGTTGCAAGAGACGTTACAAAGCTCTTTTTCACAAGGTTTTAATGGTGCAGAAATGAAAACGGGAACTTTATTTTTTTAATTGTTCACATACATGATATTCTTTTCCCCAATCGGGAGAGCTGTTTGCATAAAATGAAACCAATACTTACTAGAAATTATTATATCAAATCAGACTCCGGAGTAATTTAGGGTAATTTTATCACAGCATAAGTCCAGCAGCTGAAGAATATAAATGAGCAAACAGCAAACATGTCAAGAGATAAACATGTGGACAAGTTTCAAGCAGAAAAAATAAACTATAAACGTAAAATTCTGAGCTGTGCACTGCAAAAACTCAAAATCTTACCAACCTAGTTTCTAGTGAAAATATCTTATTACATTTGAATTAAGAAAGTTAATGTACAAGTAACTTTTCATAATAAATAATAAATATTAGCTTGTTTTAACTCAGTAATTTCTTGACATGGCTTTCAAGGAGTCAGTAGTACTAGTTGTGTCTTGTTAAAGGAGAAATAATTGAAAGAACTTGACTTAATTTACTTAAAACAAATTGTTATATCTTGCAGAAAAGTCACTTGTAAGCTAACTTTATCTTATTTCAAATGTAAGATATTTTCACCAGAAACTAGATCAAACTTACATGGTAGGATTTTGTGTTTTTGCAGGGTTAACATGTTGCAGAGCAACGTTCATCTGAAAAATTAAAACAGTTTGTAACAGCATGCCTCAAAATGGCCTCCCAGGTAAACCAACAGGCCAAAAAGTCAGTTTCTTCAGCAAAAGCTAAAGTATTTATTAAAATCACAAATTTAAGTCATGAACTTTCTGGCGTCTAAAGAATTGGGTAAAATTTCAGTGTTTAAATGGGCAAAGCAGCCAGAAACTTTCCTACCACTAACTTGAAGCTTTATGACTAGCTAAATGTAAAATGACATCGCACTGGTCAAACTTATTTATTTATTTTGCTTATTTTCTTGCCACTCAGCAATTATGCTCCGATATCACATAAGATCCCAATAAGTTCATTTAAATGCTGCTCCTAAAACATCCCAAAGTGTGAAAAATATCAAGCAGAATAAACCATTTTGGAAGGTATTGCATGCAAAGACACCAAGCTTTATTAAGATGTATGAGCTAACATGTGAAAATGTGACAATGCCGTTTGTTGCATTACAAATCATCAGAGGTGTTAACATTATCTGACTGTGCAGAGAACCTCACAGCTGAACAGGCATTAATCAGCAGTTTTTACCATTTACATATGACCAACAAAAATACTGAGAACATATTGAGTAAGAGTTTCTTACAAAGACCGAACGATACGAGAAACGTCGAGCGTTTCCTTTTAAGGGGCTCCAACGTTTTCACTTCATGGCCTTAAAGACGAGGCGACTCCGTCTCACGGCAAGGACTGAAAATAAAGCAACAGTTTATATCTACTCCTCCAAAACATCAAATTCACATGTGAAAAGGTTTTTTTTGACACTTCAAAAAAGTATCATAGTGATGATCTTTTTTTGTTCAAGTCATTTTACACTCTCTTTAGGTTTTCTGTAAAGGTTTTTGAATATACTAGAAACAACTGCAGTAGAAAATTAAACATAATAATTTTATGAAAAGCAGAACAGATGTCTCTCTGAAACTTTTTGCAAAAAAAAAAAAATCATAGTGAAGACAGTTTTCTCTGCAAAAACACAAAATCTGACCAAGTATTTTTGGTCTTGTTTTCAGTGCAAATATTTTTGTAAAGTAAATAAGACAAAACAAACTGAAAAGTAATTTATCAGCAAAGAATTTAAACTTGTTTAAGGTCAACATTTCCTTAATATTTCACTTTTAACAAGTCATTTTTCTCACAAGTGAAATAATATGCATCTGGAATTAATCATTTTTATCAATTTTAAGGAATCATTGGCACTTACAGATAAATTAATAATTCATAGATATGAGTAAGAGTAACAGAGATATTAATTTATTTGTAAACACGTTATAAATAATTAATAGCTGTTTAGTTTGAATTAATTAAAGTTGAGAAGGCAACAAAACCTTGTGTTTTTAATATTTAGTCTAGAGTTGTTAGACTAAACAGTTCACAATAAACATTTGTAAACATATTTTTTAGCATATGGTCTGATTTTCTACCTTAATTAAAGGGCAATAAAAAGTTATTAATGATCTATACAGCATTTATAGATGAACTGATAACATATAAACTATTTATTAGACATTTATAGGGGGAGTCTTACTGTAAAGTGGCACCGAATTATTTACTTCAAACAAACTCCAGTGGCAAAGATATAGCTTAGTGCAAAACTACTTGGTAAGATTCTGTATCTTTGTTGAAAAAACTGTGGAGAATAATTTTGACCAAAGATTTTTTACAGTGCTGTATGTATGTTGTCATGGTGAGCAAGCATTTTGATAGTTTGTTGTTGCCACACTTTGTAAGCAAGTATTACTAAAACCTGACCAAATGGGACAAAAGCAGAAGGTTAGTTTTTAAAACTTGTCTTTTTTGTATCCTGCGTTGCACCTTCATTAGTAAGCAAACCAGGATTACTTCCACTGTGAACCAATGTGTCAGTGAACTGACACCAAGCTGAAGTTTGTGCCAGTCCTACGGAGCCCAAGGGCTTTGGCATCATGAAATGGTAGCAGAACAAGAAGTTGGAAAGACTGCAATATGCAGATGATTCATCCAATAACAGTGGTTGCCCTTTTCAGGCAGTTTCCAGTTACAAGTTTTAAAAGTTCTTTGCAATAAACCATCTGCTCTTCCAGGTTTTAGTCTTGTTTTCCAAGAAAACCAAACGGGTGAAAATATAACCACATAAATCTGTTTTCAGGAATGCTCTGCTACTAAAATGTATTTTTATTTTGCTTAGTTGAAATACAGCATGTGTTCTTAGCCAAATGTTTCTATTTTGCCTCAAAAGTTGAAAAAAGTCACCAATAAAACCAGCAAGTCATCTGCTAGTTATTTTGTTGAAAATGTTGCTAATAAAAATGCAGTAAATGGTGCATTTCGTTAACAGGCCTGACAGATATTCACAATAAATCTGAAGTAGGAATGGAAAATATATCAATAACAATATATGTCGTGATGAACACATGATCAATGTCAATAATACGTCTGATAGAATATTCTAAATATTGAATATTCACTGAATTTCTTTCCAGAACTGCACAGCATTCTGGGAGATGTAGGTAGAGGAAAGACGTTAGCCACTAAGTGTCTCAAGCAAGGTTTGTGGCTTCATCACACTTACTCACTCTTGGTTACCTAGCATCAACTTGTGCAGCAGCAGTTTCATGATTACCTAGTATTCCTCATCACTGCTGAAAAATAAAAAGCAACAGTGTGGAGTGAAAACTGGACAATTGAGGAAAGGTCAAGCAAACCGCCAGCTTGACAATAGTTTAAAAAAAATCAATAATTAATCATATTTACTGATATAAAATGTTTAAATTGTGATGTTTTTTCAGGCAGGCCATACAGTGTGGAGTGAAAACTGGACAATTGAGGAAAGGTCAAGCAAGCCGCCAGCTTGATAATAGTTTTAAAAAATCAATAATTAATCATATTTACTGATATAAATGTTTAAATTGTGATGTTTTTTCAGGCAGGCCATTCAGTAGTCCATTCAGTAGTTTATCTATCTATCTATCTATCTATCTATCTATCTATCACTCACTCACTCACTCACTCACTCACTCACTCACTCACTCACTCACTCACTCACTCACTCACTCACTCACTCACTCACTCACTCACCACTCACTCACTCACTCACTCACTCACTCACTCACTCACTCACTCACTCACTCACTCACTCACTCACTCACTCACTCACTCACTCACTCACTCACTCACTCACTCACTCACTCACTCACTCACTCACTCACTCACTCACTCACTCACTCACTCACTCACTCACTCACTCACTCACTCACTCACTCACTCACTCACTCACTCACTCACTCACTCACTCACTCACTCACTCACTCACTCACTCACTCACTCACTCACTCACTCACTCACTCACTCACTCACTCACTCACTCACTCACTCACTCACTCTCACTCACTCACTCACTCACTCACTCACTCACTCACTCACTCACTCACTCACTCACTCACTCACTCACTCACTCACTCACTCACTCACTCACTCACCACTCACTCACTCACTCACTCACTCACTCACTCACTCACTCACTCACTCACTCACTCACTCACTCACTCACTCACTCACTCACTCACTCACTCACTCACTCACTCACTCACTCACTCACTCACTCACTCACTCACTCACTCACTCACTCACTCACTCACTCACTCACTCACTCACTCACTCACTCACTCACTCACTCACTCTGGTTACCTAGCAACAACTTGAGGAGTAACTGACGCAGCAGCAGTTTAAGGTTTCCCCACTTTGACTCATAAAAATAAACTGATGTGGGTTGAAAATTTCAGATAAAACAGGAATGATTATGTCACCAGTTTTTGTAGGATTTGAAACAAAAAAAATGAATTATTGACATCGACTGATATGAAATACTAATATTGTGATATTCAGTCATCATCCACTTGTAGCCTGACTATCTGCTTTTCCTGCCACCTGAATAATATTTTTTCCAATATGTTGTTATTCCCAAACGTCAGAAAGCAGAACAGTGTCTGACAAACATCATTTTGTCCTGTGTAGCGTACATGGTTGTCTCTCTGCGACTGCTCTGCCAGTTTTCCTGGCTCTTGAGAGTCTAGATACCAATCCCTGGCTGTTGAATAATGACCCAGAGCGACCTGGCTTTAGCCTAATCCCTACTTGAAAGGTATCCTTCCTCTGATTCATCCCTCCTCAAACCCTCACCAGAGACAGAGGGAGCATAACAAAACAGTCACAGACCTGTTTTAAAGCAGACAGACGTGAGGCACCATATTTGGACTAGAGATTCTGCTGCTCAGTGTGGTATTAATCACCGTTTTTATTCCTGCAGTGTTTCTCATTTAACAGATTAGCATGAAACTAATAAGTGAACATCTGGAGTCAATGATCTTAAAGGTCTCCTGGTTTTTGAAAGCCAGATTTGTTTTATTTCTTTTGTCAGTTATTTTTATTATTTGTACTGTTGATTAAAAATCAAGAAACTGTTGCTTTAATATAGTTACACAAAATGCTTTTCTTCAGTCAAAGCAACTAGAAAATCGGCCAATATTTTATGCATACACAATATTTTATGTATAAATATACTATATACTAATAATAACATATTATTTTTATGTTATGTTTGTTACTGGTTTCACAATAGGTGACTATGATTCTTTCATTTTAAAAAATGTTTTTTCATGCAAGTGCTTTGAATTGCCTTGTTGCAGAAATGTACTATACAGATAAACTTGATTGATTGAAAATATACATCTTACTAAACAAAAACAAAAAAAGAGCTCAAACTTAAGAATAATTCTGTTACGTGTAATTAAATGTGTTTTGTTCCTTTTGTGCCTTTATTTTACAAAATTTAGACAGATAGTGTTTGTCTAATATGTTTAATTTTTGAAACATGAAAAATGTGAGATATAGAGTTATTATGTAATAGATTTACTTGGGGATTTACTTAAAATAACATTAGAAATCCAAGCCTGACTAAATTTTTGGCTGCTGGCCTACGGTAATGTGAAACATCACGTTCATCCCTTTTTGCAATGTTGCAAAATATTTCACAATAACAAAATCCACTTGGTTTTGCACGTATGTATGTATGTATAAAAAAGCTAAGTTCAACGATACTCAGACTTTCTCGCTGTTCTACTTGTCACCAGCTTTTTACCTGGGAGCTTGAATCAGCAGGAAGGTAAGAACTTGATGTCTTTCCCTATAAACATGTTGGGAAAAATAAAAACGGCACGTAATGAGAGCGTAATGAGATTATATTATTTAGGTGAAAGTTGCATTTAAAAATAAGAAACAGTGACTGATTTATAAGTATTTTTGCTTAAAATTTTAATTTTTTAACACACTTTAATGTCAGTCACCCAGAATCAAAATAAAATGTTTTAACTTTTTGTGTTTGTCCTCAGTAGGATGAAGTGCGCACTGATTTTTCTTTTGCTGTCGATGGTTGTCCTGATGGTCCGTCCTGCAGAGAGCATTCCTCCCCGTCCTCGTCCCCGTCCTCTTCCTCTTCTTCCTCTTGCTCCTCAAACTCGTCCTCAAGGATACCCCTTGTAAGGACTGAGATACAGGCCATAAAAACCTGTCTGCATCAAGATTATTTTGATATTTTTCTACACTGTTCAGTGAAAAAAACTAATAAACTTAAAAATATGACTAAATGCAGTCACTGTATGAGACGAATCACACTTCTTCATGTGACTAAAGAAGTGTATTTCAAATGGGAATGTTTTTCAAAAGCAGTATTTGTTTCTAGAGGGGTGTAATTGCTGTGACACAGTCACTACCATAAAGTTACCAAACAAGTAATAAATATTTCTTATCGTCACTTTAACAGTTCTGACAATATAATACAAAGTATCATGATGAGCCTTTAGGTCCATTCATCTCGTCACATTATAGAAAACATTTCAGAGAAATTCTTAATTGAATGTGTAGAAATTATTGTGATATGTCACATTGTGCTAATATTATTTGACTTTCCCTTTATTAGTTCTGGAAGCGATACTCTATTGTGTTTTTTTTCTCCACTAGCTATGCAGACTTCAGGTTGAGAGGAGTCGGTTTCCAAGGAGACAAGGACCAGCAGGACCAGCAAGACCAGCAAGACCAGCAAGACCAGCAGGACCAGCAAGACCAGCAGGACCAGCAAGACCAGCAGGACCAGCAAGACCAGCAGGACCAGCAAGACCAGCAAGACCAGCAGGACCAGCAAGACCAGCAGGACCAGCAAGACCAGCAAGACCAGCAGGACCAGCAAGACCAGCAGGACCAGCAGGACCAGCAAGACCAACGCCTGCTGCAGTTAATCTTTGAACAAGAACGTCTTGATTAGATGATCAAATTATTTTGCAAACCACAAAATAATCTGATGAAGAATAATACATTAAGTTAATTGGTTTTGTCTGAAATTGCTGGAAGGTCAGTAAATTCAGAATATTGCACAAACTTCTATTTCTTTGGTTATTATTTTACACTTAATTATATCAGTGTAAAACATCAATTTTCAAAGAGTTTAAATATATTGACATGCAGCATTTTATCTTAGAGCATGTTCAAGTGTTTTCCATTAGCATATAAAGATCCATAAACCTAGTTTGGTTAGTCACTGATTGTGTGTTTGATTCCTGAACTGAAATAAATCTGATTTTCTTCGAACTTTGCTGTTTTGTCATATTAATAAAAGAGTGACAAATTGTCGATGTGAGGATATTGAGGTCTGAGGGTATTTTATGCATGGAAATGTTAACTTCTACAAAAGTTTCCCAATAGCTACATTTCCATTTACCATATAATTGCAAAAATTGAAATTATGAAGATAAATTAACTTAATGGAAAAACTCCAATTAGAAAAAAACTCAAGTTTTTTCAACCTCTAATGTCTCTAATCTTCCGAGCTTTTCAAACAGATATATTTGTAATGTAAACTAAATTTCTCACTAGTAATTAATTACTCTGTCAAACTAAAGGTATGTAAAAACATGGAGCTACAGCTTTTAATTGAGTTACTTCAGGAGAAACAAAAACTGATTTTAAAGTGATGCACAATACTAATAAAATGATCTGTCTTATTAGTAAGACACACTAATCAGCTTTTTCACACACATTTTATCTGCCTTTAACCTATTTTATACTTTGGAGAAATATTGGAAATATAACACCAAATTGATTTATTAACGCAATACTTTCTCTTTAAGGAGACTGTTCCAGCATTAATTAGCTCCTACTTTTAATTTTCCATCATTTCTAGCAATATTTTTTTAGTGTGAGTTGAATTTCTCCATTAATATTTTTCTCATATTTGGTAATAAACAATTTTCCTCTACCAATATTAAAAATAAAGAAATATGGAGTAAACTAAGCAACATAGGAGCAACTAAATGAATTGGATTGGTGGCAATTTATTGAAAGTAAGCTAGTTCAAAACACAAAACTAAATTAAAGCTGCAGTGATAGTTTAAAATAATTTTTTTAAGGTAAAAAAAATCTAAATTTTACATGCATATGTACAGTCGAACATCATTAGTTAAACATTTCAGCCTCAAGCTGTAACCAAGCAGCCAGTAATAAAAGCAAATCCCTAAAGTAACCTTAAGGACCAATTATAGGAGGTCAAACACATTGGTCCCCATAAAGTCAATGGTCCTAATATTGTTGGTAAATGCACAAACAAAGGTCCCAACAAACTAATAAAAAACAAAATACTTTAACACAAACAGTCATGCTTTTATGTCTTGTGGGTACTTTATATAGAAGACGTGTCAAGTCCCTTGTGGGGTCTAATCAACTCAGTCCTGCACCTTGGTGACATTGACAAAGTTTCTTGTGGGGACTTTACATACATTAGGTACAGCCTAACCCTAACCATCACATACATAACTGAAAAACAGCATTTTCCTTCATGGGGATCAAGAAAATGCCCCCACAAACCCAGGTTATAGACAGGAACAAACCCCCACCAGAATATAAAAACCTGGTTCACACACACACACACACACACACACGCACACACACACACACACACACACACACACACACACACACACACACACACACACACACACACACACACACACACACACACACACACACACACAAAAGAGAACAATATATTGGGCTTTAGCATTGTCAAGTTGTCATTCGAGAGCAGTATTGTGTTCGCTGCAAAGTGTCACGTCCAACTCCACTTACAATGTTGCAAAATGTTGGAGAATTATGAAATCAACTTAGCCCTGCACGTATATAAAAACATACCAAACAGCATTAAACAGATGCTTTTGGGTCAGTGAAGCTTTGATCCAACAGTAAACAACTGTGAAGATTCAAAATCAGAAAGGTAAGATTTAAGTACCGTTCATCTAAATACTTTTGAAATATCTCAAATATTTATTTGAACAATCTAAGGTAACAAATGTTGGAATAGAATAAATAAGATATATTTTTCATTTAGTAGTAATGACTCTGGTTTAGCCTTAATTAGGGATCTGCTTTGAAATTGTTTGATGTAGAGGTAAAGCAAGTACTACCAAGCATTTTACCAAGTAGAAAGCAATTTAAAAAATTAAATCTACATTGAACTATGGTTGTTTTCTCTGCAGGATGAGGTGCACTGTGGTCTTTCTGGTGCTCTCCATGGTTGTCATGATGGCTCAACCTGGAGAGGGGATAATCGGATTAATTGGTGGTCTTGTTTCTGGAATTGGCCATGCCATTCATGGCATTTCCAAGTAAGAACTTAATTGATTAATTTGCTTCAATTTCTTTTTCAATGACATTCTATAATTAAGAATACTGAGCAATGGAAAACATATGTGATGATACTTTCCTTAAGGTCATTTAAACAGAGGTGGGCATAGTACCCAAAAATTGTACTCAAGTAAGAGTAGCAGTACTAAAGTAATGCTAAAAATATTCGGGAAAAAGCCAACTCAAGTACTGAGTAACTGATCAAATTATCAGTCGTTTAATATTTGAAAATTACATCATCAGACAGATAATATTTAAAGTTGAGTGGAAATTTTGTGCACCATATTAAAAATACTCCTAAAAGTAAATTACGTACATTTTAATAGAAATTCATGAGCCAAATTTAAATAGCCACGGATTGAAGTTTATTAACTTCAGGCTTCATGGCGTTAGCATGGACATGAAGAATAAAATTGGGAAAAAATAACTGAAGAAAAAAGTACTTTGGAGTTTAAGAAGCTTTTTACTCAAAAGTATTTTCCAACAAACCCAAAGAGCTTTAGCAGTATCGTCTCACCTCATGTATAATTTATGTGCCTTACAATGGCACGTTGTGATTTGGTGCTATATAGACAAACTGAACTGGATTAAATGATAATTTGGTAATCTAACCATTTTTCTCTTAACTAGACTCGTTAAACACAGGAGACATGGAGTGGATCAAGATGTCCAACAGGAAGTGGACCAAGCAGTCCAGAACCAACAGGATCAGAAGCATCTCAGTAAACTTCTTTTTAAACACAAGTTTGCTCAAAATCGCTTCAACTGAAGAGTATTTTCTAAGAGTATTTCCTATAAGCATAGGGAATACACAAGCAACTTTGGTTAACAATGAATGGAAATACTGTCTCTGTTTATCAAACAAGTTTGATTAAACATTTCTGGTACGACACCAGAACTTTAATAAATGTAATTTGATTCAAACTTTGCCTCTGTCTTATTATTTAATTGTCAACCAGTGAGAATCTGAGAATATGGAAGTCTGTGAAAATGTTTAATTTAAGGCAGGTGTGTTAAACCAACTTTCACTTTGGGCCATATCAAATATCTGAACGTTCTTAAAGGATAAAGCCAATGAAACGGTTAAAATATCAATAAATAGCTGTTCCTCCTATATTTTATTTATGCAATCAAAATTACAGCTTTTGTTATGGCAATTTAGAAATGTTTGTAAGGAATTTTTAATATTTGCACTAATGCATGAGGTTAGATGTTACTTTTTACAACTCAATTATGGACTATAACGTGATATTAAAAAAAGCTGAGCCAGCAGTCATTTAAAGTGAATTTTGAAAAAAATTAGTAGTATATTTATCAAAAAATTGAGAATTTTGCAGATTTGTGAAAAACCAAAAGGACTAATTGATGTAATTTGGAGTCTAGAGGGCCACATAAGAAATTTCGGTAGGTGGACCCAAATTATGTTGGTGAAAAAAAATACCTTTAGTTTCCGCTGTAAAGTTAAACACAATAAGTCTAAGGTTATGAACTTCGACTTTAGAAATAGGCAGAACTGAAACATAAACAGGAACTAATGAGAAACTCATCTAGATGTTACCAATAATGTAGCATAAATCTGCACAGAAACAAATCCTATAGAAACAAAATGCTCACAATCCAACCATAAGCGAAGACAGAACAAGATAAATTTGCTTTTAATGTAATTTGTATTGATTTTTAATCAGAAGAAAAGACATGGTCTATTTTTAATGTGTAATTACACTGGTTTTTTGTGGCTTACATTTTCTGCATCCTAAAAATAAAGTTGTAGTGAAGAAAAACTAAAAGTAATACATGGACGTCCTTAGAACAAGAGTTGGATAGCAACTAGCTACGTTTATTTGGGTAACTTTAAAAAAAATACTTTTAGGAATATATTTCCTTGAGTAATTTTATTATGAAGTAATGTTATCCTATTTGAGCAAAATGTTTGGATTCTCTATCCACTCATGAAATAAAAAATATGTTTTAACCAAAAATTCAACAGACACAGACAAACAGCTTTAACACCTTTAACCTTTAACAATTTTTGTTAAATTTTCATCAGTTTTTTATATAAAGAAACTGATTTGGAAACATTTCCTTTTGCCTGATTTTGTTATTTTTGTTACTTATATGAATTATTGTCATTTTCATCCTTAAAATACAAAAAATTTACTTAACTTTGTATTTTGGTTCAATTAAATGTTTTTCAAACATTAAATGATTGATAATCTGCTCAGTTATTCAGTACTTCAGTAGACGTTTAACCAAATACTTTGTTACTCTGAGTGATTTCCTGGATGGCTACTTTTCACATTTACTTGAGTAAAAATATGTATTACTACTCACACTTGAGTAATTTTTTGTGTACTCTTCTTAGAATGAGCCACAAAATGTTTCATATTCAATTGAATTATCTAAACTGGAGCAAAACACAGTACATCATTGACTATGCAAAGCTGCTTAAATGGACGAGATGAAAAAAATTGCCTCGCCCACATGTGAGGCAGAATCACTGATCATTGGTGCAACTTTGCAAAGTGTTACACAATAATGAAATCAAGTTAGTTCTACAAATGTATAAAGAGGCACAAGGCCACTTCTAGTAAGACTTTCTTTAACTCTCATTCTCAAACAGCCAGGTGTCCCAGAAGCAGTGGAAAGGTGAGAACCAAATCTTTTAAAACATTTTAAATGACAAAAGGGAAAACTATATTCTGAGCAGAATAACATAAGATTTAAAAGTAAAATAACACAAATAAGCTCCTGAAGTGTAAATAGATCAAGATTAGGCATTTGACTAAAAGTGGTTCATTTAATGTTACTATTCTTTTTTACATACCATGAAATAGGCTTTTCTATATTTGAAGTGTAGAGTTTAACACCTATTTACTAAACAAGCTTACAAAACTAACAATATATGTACAGGGCAACAATCATGTCAACGATCTGTTGAATGTAAAGCATAACTAACAATTGTGACCACAAATGTGTAAAGATAATACTGCATGAAGATTCCTAATTTAAATATACTAAACTACCGTAATGTGTGTAAATGATTTATAATTGGACTAAATTGATGACAATATCTAAGTGTAAATTGGACTTTGTTGCCAAGTGCCTCAATATAACATTTGTTGCAGATTTAGTAGTGATGTTTCGTGTATCCTTAAATCAGCATTTTTAAATGTGTGATGTGTATTTAAATGTGTGATGTGTTTTTCTTGGCAGGATGAAGGGTGTTGGACTCTTTCTTGTGTTTTCGATGGCGATCCTGATGGCTCAACCTGCAGAAGGATTTATCCACCATGTCATTCACGGTTTAACCGCGTAAGGACTGTTTCACAACCACTATAATTAAATAATCTGGTTACGTACAATCTAGTTCAACTAGTAATGTTTCTAATAGTTTTTAACAGAAACTTTTCATGGTTTATGCTGACTTTGAGCATTTTCTTCCAGCTTATTTGGTGGAAGCATGAAACATGCAAAGGAGGAAGTTTATAAGCGGAAACTGGACCAGCAGAGGGAACAAGAGGATGAGCAGGAAGACCAACAAGACGACCAACAGGATGACCAGCAGGACGACCAACAAGACGACCAGCAGGATGACCAGCAGGACGACCAACAAGACGACCAACAAGACGACCAACAGGACGACCAACAGGAGGATGAACAGGAGGATGAACAACTGGATGAGCAACAGATGGAATGAAATTGTTATTCCTTCTTAAAAACAACAATGCTGTGTTTAAACCCAACTGTACTTCTCTTCTTTTACAAAGTATAAATATGACCAAATCTGAATTGGTGATATACTTACAATGAATTTGCTGATAAAATGTGCTTTATTCGTCATTTTTGGTCGAACAATTTTTTTTATTATTAATAAATGAGTTTGCTGGCACGGTTTTGACTTTATTAATTATTTACTGTTTATCATTATTCATATTAATAACACTACTATTAATAATAATAACAACAATAATACATTATAATTAACTATAATCATTAAATTATTATTAATTATGTACTTTATTACTTATTAACACCTTAAAAGTATGAGGTTAAAAATCTGACTGATTTGATATTATATAGAAAAATAGATAGGATTTTAGTCTTGGATATACAATCTTTGTGAAAACCTTAGTATGTCCAGATACATTTAAACCATTCATATTTGTACACTTAACAGTTTACTACTTATATGCAAAACACAGTTCACATCATACAAAAATGCCAGAACAAAACACTGACCCACTATTGAGTGACTGAAAATCACTTTTCAACATATTTTCATTTTAGTGGCCAGAAAACAAAACAAAAAACATGAAAATCTGCAATTCCAATGAATAAATAACATAATTTCTACACAAATTTAAGTTCGGTATTGAATATTTACTTTAAAGTCAGTTGCTTGGATTACAATTACATGCAAACCATTCACAGAAAGTGAATATGGAAGAAACTGAATGTATTGTAACCAGCACAACCTTCACTCTGCAACATATGCTGTAGGTAAGTTTATGTTGTGAGAAAAAATAGATAATTTCTCAAAGGAGATTAGTTTTGCTGTGAAAGGCAATCTAATAAAAACTGAAGCATAGCTTGGGGAAGTGATCAAAGAGCAATCTAGATGCTAACAGCAACACAGCTATCACTTTGCTCCGTCACTAAGATGACAAATGTCTGTTTCCAGAATCAGTTGAGCAAAAGGCAAACTGTGCTCATAATCTGACTGAAATGAAATCAGCAATAAAAAACAGCAACATTTCATCCTAAAAAAATGACAAAAGACCCACAAAACAGAGCAAAACTGATTTGCAGTTCTGTTTCATCAATGAGTCTCGAAGCAATGATAAAGCCTCAACACCGGCAGTACGGTCAAATTGTAGATTGCAATGAACAAATGATCTCTTAGATTGTGCTGACATGGTTTTTCTTCTTCTTGGGATCGTCGCACAGAAAGTGAACTGGACAAAAGTTTTGTTTTCAAATGGTAGCATCCCTTAAAAAACATTTAGCTCTTTCTTTTTAACCTTAAATATAAACTTGATCATATTCTAACATACAAACAAACAGGCAAAAATAAAATATGCTTTTTGTAACTTAATCTTGCTAAATGATGTCAGCATTCCATCGAGATCTCAGGAAACCAAGGGAACTCATATTTTAACTAAAAAGGTTTTAAAAAGTGAGCTCCATTATAAATATTCCAGATAACGAGTGAGTTTTTACATTTTTTTTATTGCCAAATTATGAGGAAGTAATAAATCAGCAAACAAGTTGTTAACCACAGTGAGGCATAACTTTGTACTTCAACTGTCCGATTTATGTTGAACATAAAGGCAACAAAGTTCAACATAAAGTCTAAACATTCATGGACAAAACGCTAAAATTAGTTTGCATTTAATTCCTGATTTAAACAGTAATGGTCAAAAGTTCACATGATCATTCATATTCTCATTATTATGTCACAAAACCTCCAGATATAATTACATAAATATTACCCAACTTTTGTTTTCTTATGATTTTTGTTTTTAAAGTTCAATAAAAAAGCTGAAATGTTTCACAGGAAGGAAAGTTGTTGCTGGCTAATAAACCTTTAGTAATTTAACTAATGATCTATTTTATTGATGTCTGGTTTTGTAATGAGGCAAAAGTGTTGCACAATCATGGTTTCTTACTATTTTGGCCTATATATAATGATCTCTTCCGCTCAGATCTCTTCATGCTGCCTGCCACACAAACCACCATTTGATTTTCATACATTTTAAAGGTAAGAACTAAACCAGAAAACCGTAAAAGGCTTTATTTGGCTGCTTTAATTATTAAAAATAAACAATGTTTTGAATGAGGAATTGTGGTAAAAGAGACAAGTAAGCATATATTATGTTTAAATTTTATTAAGAACATAAGTTGAGTAAAGTTTACACCAGAAGAAACTTTACACCAAATGGACTTTGAATTTTATAGTCCTTAAACTACAACTTATTATAAAAACAGGCTGGATCTTTAAGTTTGTGTCATTATGAAGTGTAATAATAGTTGGAACAAACGTCCAGAAAACTGTAAAACAGCAGAAACCCTGACTTCCTTTAAATCTCAACTAAAAACACAACTGTTTAGAATTGTATTTGAAATGTAATATGAAACAATGTATCTATGTTGCACGACTTTGTGTTTTTGTGTTTATGATGTAAAGCACTTTGAAATGCCTTGCTGCTGAAATGTGCTATACAAATAAAATTTGATTGATTGATTGATTGTAATAGTAGCTATGTTAGTATAGTTTAGTTATGAAAAAGTTTTTTTGTTTCTCCTAGGATGAAGTGCACAAGCATGTTCCTTGTGTTGGCCATGGTCGTCCTGATGGCCCAACCCGGAGAGGGAATCTTTGGACTTCTTATCCATGGAATCACTCATGCAGTTCATGGCATCACGAAGTGAGTCTTAAATCTTAAAAAGAGGGAAACATTTTACAACTCTTCAGTGCTGATCAATGCAAACACCCTGAACGTTTTGTATCCTGGCTAGGCTCATCGACGGGAAAGAGAACCTTGCAGAGGAGCAAGCGGACCAGCAGCAGCTCGACAAACGTTTGTTTCAATTCAGACATCAACGGAAACATTTTGATTAAACCCACGAGGAAAATCTGGGAATGCTCTTATTCTCGCTTTTAAATATATATATATCAATAAAAAAATAAAGAAAATTAAAAAAAACGCTTGATAACTATGTCGAAAATATTCCTTTAATGCTTCAGAGATCAGAGAAATGCGGTCAAAGAACTGTCAACAAATTCAGCATACTGCAGAGTTTTCAACTGCTTATATTAATAATAATAATATTAAATAAAGGCTTGAGTCTCAGATGTGTGAGCGTCAAAGAATTTGGTGACAAACTATGTTTTTTCTGAAGTGTTTATTGTTTCGATGGCAGCAAATACACATTATAACTTCAGTAAAGTGAATCAACCCAAATAAAATTTTCCTGCTGCAGATTTCTGTGTTTACTTCTCTGGAAGTGTGGGGAAAAGAAGTTGGGATTATAATCTGTGTTCTACAGAGCTAACCTGTGATTATTTCACTGATATTGAATTAAATTTCTAATTTAGGGAAACTTGAGTATTTGTGACTTCAGCAATAATCAAAGTCAAAGCATGCAGGTTTATTTTTTCTAACTTAAATCTAGTTAATGACAACTATTAGCAGACTTCCAGTATTCAGCTTCACATGAAAAGATTAATAGATACTATGACTCAGACGATTAATTTAAAAAGTATTCAATATTCAAATTATTTAATATTTTACCCCAGTATAGCTTAAACAAACCAATCAATATAAAGAAAATTGTCCATTTTTGACAAAGAAACAACTTTATTAGTGCATTTCATGTCACATTTCTACAACGTTCTGGTCAAAATATTTAACCTAAAATGAGATATTACTGATATAGTCAGCCCCTTTAGAGTGACTGACTTAATTCAACAGAGCACTGCACCAAGAACTGGAGAAAACAACACAAAAACCTCTAAAGTAGACACTGACCGCAACTTTGCTTTTCACAAAATGTAAACAAAAATGGAGTAAAGTACGTTTTTAGTGGTTATAGGATTTCTTTTCAGTCTTCGGCAAAAGAGCAGGTGGTGTAGTTCACTTCCTGGTTTTGGAGCGGTCTCTGGGCAGCTTGGCATTCACAAATTCATTTGAAATGCAGCAGAGTTCACTTCAACTGAACTGAGCCAGAGGTTTGTAGATGGACAAGAGTTTGTTTCTTGGTCCGTGTCTGAGTTCAATTCTCACAAACCAAGCGAACCAGACTTTTTAGGCAGACAAATTAGTGTTCAGTGGACTAAATAAGACCGGTGTGACTTCATTTTATGTGATCAGTGTTGAACCAATTGTATAATTAGTTTGCAACAAAACAAGGCAATCCCAAATTGACTTGTTGATCTTGACTTCTGCAGAATAAAGTGCAGTGTGGTTGATTTTGTGCTGTCTGCAGTTGTCCTTGCTGCTCAACCTGGTGTAGGTTTTTTACACTTCCTCCCTGGGATCATCGAAGATGTTGGTCATGGCATGAATGGCCTTGCTAAGTAAGGACTCACGATGCTAATTTAGTCATTTTTAAAATGCATTTGAAAACATATCAGCCTAACTAAGAATTTCAATTTTAGATAATAGTTGCAACTTCCTTTTCTTATTGTGAGACATCTAATTTTATCAAACCAGACTCATCCATGGGCCTGGAGGTAATGAAGTACAAACAGACCAGCAGCAAGAAGTGGACCAGCAGCAGCAACTTAACAACCGTTCCTTTAAGTACGAGGCTGTAAAACATCTTATTGCTGAAACTCAGTGGGCAAACCTGAGAATGCTTCCAAGCTTGTACTAATGTTACAAGTAGACTTGTCTATAACCTGGGAATCCTTTCTTGAAAATGTTTTCCTTGCTAAAAACTAAGTTGATCATTTCGGCTCTTAGCCTGTTGAACAATAAACCCCTGCAGCAAACTTTTAAGTTTTTTGTTTTTTATAATCAGCTGTCTTGTTCAGCAGCTTAACTTTGCTGTAGTAGGTTTGGTTGTCCTCTAGTTCAAAATGGATTTAATTTTCAGCAATGGGCCTCTTTCTGCTGTTACTACTGAAATGTGACCTGTTGTTCTGCCACAAAGATATTAATATTGGTCTTTTGCTTATAAAAAACACGTTCTTTACATTTTTTGCTCAAAATAATTTTTAAATAATGAAATTTTAGTCTGCTCCTTTAGAGCTTTCAGAATGAGAAGTTTTATTGTGTACCGTCACTTTAAATCCCAATAAGTTGCTGCTAGCCACTCGCACGTGAAAACAAACAAATGCGGAGTGATACAACCACACATGGTTGTATAAATGTACAGGCGCTCCGCTTGAGTTGCTAAGTAACGGGCAGAATTCTACTACAGTTGCTAGGTAACTGGCTGTGTCTCTGGAGTTACTAGGTCAAAGGTCATGCCTGCTGATTGCTGACGTTACATTTTGCAAGTTTTTTAAAAGGCTTATTTTCCAGAGACCAAAAAGACATGAACGCATTCCCAAAAAACGGCACGATGGTAAAACCTTTATGGACTCTATAATCGCATTAATAAGAGAAACACGTAGTATACATTTTACAAGTTTTAAAGAAGATGAGATGACTTTCCAGGTTCCAGTGAGGCTGGGTAAAAAAAACTAAATTGCAGTAGACAAAAAATAAAAAATAAAAAACCACCAATGTAATCATTTAAAAATATATTTCTAGTTATGGTTGATGACATTTCTTGTTGCCACGAGTGAAGATCAGGTTTATTGGGCGACTTTTCTTATCAGTTAAACACTAATTATTGTAAATACTTGTTTCTTCGTCTTATATTAAAACTAGATTTCTGATCAGTACCAGTAATGTGACAAGAAATTAAAAACACAACATTAACATCAAAACGGAACAAGTCATTATAAAGACGGCCTGAATTCAGCTTGATATTAAAAAATAGGAGTTCAGTCTGATGCAACTTTTTGTTGCATATTTTAATGAAAACGATCAACTGTCTGCCCCACATGCCACCTCAGGTCTTTCTCCACCTTGTTGTAATATTTTAGCTGGTTTCACAATATGATAATCGACTCATTGTCAGATATATAAGTAGAGAGGGGCAACAGTCGACCAGAACATCGGTTACCAACTTTGGTGAACCCTCGACTAGAGCAGCTTTTCAACGCCTGCAAGAAAGGTGAGAAATAAATAAATGTAATGCAAATATTATGTTTATCTTTGGGAAATCTTAGTTCGTATTCACTTGTCCAGTAAAAAATATGTTGACATGCTGTCTATCGAAGATAGCATGTGTATTCTGTATACAAGAGTGCTAACTTTTATATCCTTAAAAATATTCAAAATAAATGCATCATCTGATTTTTTTTCTTCAGCAAGATGAAGTTGGCTGTGGTATTCCTGGCGCTGTCCATGGTTGTGCTTATGGCTGAAACTGGAGAAGGATTTTTGGGAGATATTTTAAAAGATGTTGCCGGACGATGCGTCAAGTAAGATCGTTAAATTCTTGGTAACATTTAAAAAATCTTAAGGAACTAAAAGTAAAATTGCTACATTATACCAGATACAGTTTTAACAGTCATTTCTGTTCTCTTTCCTACTGAACTTTTCTCTTAGTGGTGTCCTTGGAAATAAGAAGGCAATGGACCAAGCCAATCTGCAGGTGGACCAGCAGAAACTGGACCAGCTTTTGGACCAGTTGGTCCAGGAGCAACTGGACCAGCAGAAACTGGACCAGGAACAACTGGACCAGCAGGACGAAGACCAGCTGCAAATGCAAAAACGTTCCTTCCAGCAACACTAGTCTTTGCAGCGTCATTAGACAACAACCCAAATATGATTTGGGTCAAATTGCCCACATGCATATTTACAAAATAAACATGCATTTTGCTTTTCCTGAAGGATTTTTGCTTGATTGATTTTCATACAGTTAACTGATAAATAAAAAATGGCTTGGCAGCATGATAAACTGATTTGCTTGTGTTTTATTTCCATTTTCTTAATGTCAGTTGTTGAAAATATAAACCTAGTTAGCATAGCTATAGACACATTAACCTTTAGACATATGAAATATTGCATCGAGCATAAACATTTTGGGTAGACTTTACGATAAGGTGAACTTACATAAAAATTTTAAGGAGGGTTTAGCAGATAGACAGGCCTGCACTCCCCTAACTGCTATCCAGACAGGGAGTCTGTCTGCTATCAAAACAGTTAATTCTTTGGTGAGTGGTTCAACAGTTCAGTGAAACATTAAAACTTTAAAAAGCCTTCTCCAAAGTATAATCAAAGGTATTAAGATATTTTCTTACGCATTAAACAGCCTGTTTTGAATTAGTTTTTAACCTTGCTATTTGCATACATTTTATATTACTGAAATACAATAGAATTAGGAAACTATTTTTACTCCTAAAATATTTCAGGTATTTTAAAAGAGCTTTTCTTAAAATAGAAACAACTCTGCAGTTTTAGATCCAAACTTATAGTTATTATTTAGCATTAGATTGTTGTGCCAGTTTGTTTAAAATAAGAAATCAGTTTCTTGTTGAACTACTTTGAGACAGAGAGCCATTGAGTCTAGCTGCAGGTCATAAAATCTGTCTGGAATGTAAGGAGGAGTCGACTGGTACGAGAAGATCTGGGTGTTTTAGCAGGCCCCAAAATTAACATTAAGACAGCCCCACCATGGGAGGACACACCTTCTATGCATATATTCAAATGAAGGAAATACACATTCTTATAAAAAGCTTTGTTTTACAGCAGAAGACCGAATTGCTTTGTGCCCGAGTGAGCAATTCCCAGAAATGCATTTTTGTCTTTTCTTTTCAACTCGTTGCAGGTAATTCTGTTTGTCATGTGTTAGACTTTTTTGATGATCGGGGTGTAATGCTGATGTAACATTCTGTATGCATTGAGTTCTCTGGATAAAGCTCTAGACATATCTGAGGTCGGATGTAGTATGGTCGCTTCTTTATTATTTCCCACTGCACACGCGGAGACTAACGGACCTGGGAGACAGAGGAAATTAACAAGCAAAGTGAAGATAGTCCTCTAAATCTTAACACAGTTTAATATAAGAGAGAATCTTTTGAATTTTTTTGCTACCAATTCCCACTGATAAGAAGTAAAATAAGCCTCATGCTAGTAAAATAAAACATGGTCACATCAAGTGAACTGACATATTTTTGAATGCTAATTTTATATTTTATACTATTTTAACTGATTCCTTTAGGAGTATCAATACTTTAACAGCCTTTGATATTATTACAATGACTATAGTTCTACAATATGCACCATCTCCTCCAGGTGTTGGTAGTAAATACATTTTTATTAAATGATGACCTATTATGCTTCCTTGATCAGGTTAAGACATGTCTATTTAATATACAAAACATGTTCAGTAGGTTTTTTGCATGAAATTATTCTCCGATTATCAGATTATTTGATCAGTTCTTCCTACTTTGAGCTTCTTTTGGGCTCCTGTCACTTTAAATCCAAACAATCGTCTGCTGGCCACACACACAACTCAACGTTTACATTCGCATGTAAAAATGGCTGCAAACACGTGCACAATTATACAACCATACATCTTTGAAAAGTATTAGTCGAGCCTCTTACACAACCAATGAAAACGCAGCAACTAAATACTTGATAATTTTTTCCCTTTAAGTAAATAACTTGGAGATTTCGTGAGAAGAAAAAGTCCATTGCTGCCATAATATGAGTAACAAGTAAGGTTTTCATAATTTGTAGAGCTCAGATGTGGAAGCTGCAACATAGGATAAAATGGCTGCTGACTGAAGTGACGATGTGTTTAGTTTTTAGTTTGCAGGGTGGATTTTAGTTTTTACTGTCATTTGTTTACTTTTCAGTGAACTGGTCTGAATAGAACGCTCTGTCTTACTTTTGCAGATTGAAAATGTTCACGATAATATTATAGGTTAAAAGGAGATAAAATGGAGGAAGGGAAAGGGATGAAATAGTTGTGAACAAAAGGACAAGAGTTGCATGCAAAGTTGTTTTTGTATTCCGTTATCCGGAGTTTAAAATACAAAGTATTTCATTAGTACATCAGTAGAAACCTTTGAGACGTATAATATCCATCGGCATGTTTGTGGAAGAAATCCCTAAAGAAACAAATTTTTTACAGTTTTTTAATCAATGAACCTTTTTCAAAAGAATAGACTAAACCGATCATAATTCCCCCAAAACAACTTTAAGAAATCTGAAGAATAGAACCAGAGACATTGTGTCAGAGCCCGATCCGACCAGATGAATAAACTAAAGATGGCCTGAATTCAGCTTGATATTAAGAAATAGGAGTTCAGTCTGATGCAACATTTTGTTGCATATTTGAATAAAAACAACCAACTGTCTGCCCCACATGCCACCTCAGGTCTTTCTCCACCTTGTTGTAATATTTTAGCTGGTTTCACAATATGATAATCGACTCATTGTCAGATATATAAGTAGAGAGGGGCAACAGTCGACCAGAACATCGGTTACCAACTTTGGTGAAACCCTCGACTACAGAGCAGCTTTTCAACGCCTGCAAGAAAGGTGAGAAATAAATAAATGTAATGCAAATATTATGTTTATCTTTGGGAAATCTTAGTTCGTATTCACTTGTCCAGTAAAAAATATGTTGACATGCTGTCTATCGAAGATAGCATGTGTATTCTGTATGCAAGAGTGCTAACTTTTATGTCCTTAAAAATATTCAAAATAAATGCATCATCTGATTTTTTTTCTTCAGCAAGATGAAGTTGGCTGTGGTATTCCTGGCGCTGTCCATGGTTGTGCTTATGGCTGAACCTGGAGAAGGATTTTTGGGAGATGTTTTAAAACAGGTTGCCGGACGATGCGTCAAGTAAGATCGTTAAATTCTTGGTAACATTTAAAAAATCTTAAGGAACTAAAAGTAAAATTGCTACATTATACCAGATACAGTTTTAACAGTCATTTCTGTTCTCTTTCCTACTGAACTTTTCTCTTAGTGGTGTCCTTGGAAATAAGAAGGCAATGGACCAAGCCAATCTGCAGGTGGACCAGCAGAAACTGGACCAGCTTTTGGACCAGTTGGTCCAGGAGCAACTGGACCAGCAGAAACTGGACCAGGAACAACTGGACCAGCAGGACGAAGACCAGCTGCAAATGCAAAAACGTTCATTCCAGCAACACTAGTCTTTGCAGCGTCATTAGACAACAACCCAAATATGATTTGGGTCAAATTGCCCACATGCATATTTACAAAATAAACATGCATTTTGCTTTTCCTGAAGGATTTTTGCTTGATTGATTTTGATACAGTTAACTGATAAATAAAAAATGGCTTGGCAGCATGATAAACTGATTTGCTTGTGTTTTATTTCCATTTTCTTAATGTCAGTTGTTGAAAATATAAACCTAGTTAGCATAGCTATAGACACATTAACCTTTAGACATATGAAATATTGCATCGAGCATAAACATTTTGGGTAGACTTTACGATAAGGTGAACTTACATAAAAATTTTAAGGAGGGTTTAGCAGATAGACAGGCCTGCACTCCCCTAACTGCTATCCAGACAGGGAGTCTGTCTGCTATCAAAACAGTTAATTCTTTGGTAAGTGGTTCAACAGTTCAGTGAAACATTAAAACTTTAAAAAGCCTTCTCCAAGTATAATCAAAAGGTATTAAAATATTTTCTTACGCATTAAACAGCCTGTTTTGAATTAGTTTTTAACCATGCTATTTGCATACATTTTATATTACTGAAATACAATAGAATTAGGAAACTATTTTTACTCCTAAAATATTTCAGGTATTTTAAAAGAGCTTTTCTTAAAATAGAAACAACTCTGCAGTTTTAGATCCAAACTTATAGTTATTATTTAGCATTAGATTGTTGTGCCAGTTTGTTTAAAATAAGAAATCAGTTTCTTGTTGAACTACTTTGAGACAGAGAGCCATTGAGTCTAGCTGCAGGTCATAAAATCTGTCTGGAATGTAAGGAGGAGTCGACTGGTACGAGAAGATCTGGGTGTTTTAGCAGGCCCCAAAATTAACATTAAGACAGCCCCACCAAGGGAGGACACACCTTCTATGCATATATTCAAATGAAGGAAATACACATTCTTATAAAAAGCTTTGTTTTACAGCAGAAGACCGAATTGCTTTGTGCCCGAGTGAGCAATTCCCAGAAATGCATTTTTGTCTTTTTTTTTCAACTTGTTGCAGGTAATTCTGTTTGTCATGTGTTAGACTTTTTTGATGATCGGGGTGTAATGCTGTAACATTCTGTATGCATTGAGTTCTCTGGATAAAGCTCTAGACATATCTGAGGTCGAATGTAGTATGGTCGCTTCTTTATTATTTCCCACTGCACACGCGGAGACTAACGGACCTGGGAGACAGAGGAAATTAACAAGCAAAGTGAAGATAGTCCTCTAAATCTTAACACAGTTTAATATAAGAGAGAATCTTTTGAATTTTTTTGCTACCAATTCCCACTGATAAGAAGTAAAATAAGCCTCATGCTAGTAAAATAAAACATGGTCACATCAAGTGAACTGACATATTTTTGAATGCTAATTTTATATTTTATACTATTTTAACTGATTACTTTAGGAGTATCAATACTTTAACAGCCTTTGATATTATTACAATGACTATAGTTCTACAATATGCACCATCTCCTCCAGGTGTTGGTAGTAAATACATTTTTATTAAATGATGACCTATTATGCTTCCTTGATCAGGTTAAGACATGTCTATTTAATATACAAAACATGTTCAGTAGGTTTTTTGCATGAAATTATTCTCCGATTATCAGATTATTGATCAGTTCTTCCTACTTTGAGCTTCTTTTGGGCTCCTGTCACTTTAAATCCAAACAATCGTCTGCTGGCCACACACACAACTCAACGTTTACATTCGCATGTAAAAATGGCTGCAAACACGTGCACAATTATACAACCATACATCTTTGAAAAGTATTAGTCGAGCCTCTTACACAACCAATGAAAACGCAGCAACTAAATACTTGATAATTTTTTCCCTTTAAGTAAATAACTTGGAGATTTCGTGAGAAGAAAAAGTCCATTGCTGCCATAATATGAGTAACAAGTAAGGTTTTCATAATTTGTAGAGCTCAGATGTGGAAGCTGCAACATAGCGGATAAAATGGCTGCTGACTGAAGTGACGATGTGTTTAGTTTTTAGTTTGCAGGGTGGATCATTGCATTTGTTACTTTCAGTGAACTGGTCTGAATAGAACGCTCTGTCTTACTTTTGCAGATTGAAAATGTTCACGATAATATTATAGGTTAAAAGGAGATAAAATGGAGGAAGGGAAAGGGATGAAATAGTTGTGAACAAAAGGACAAGAGTTGCATGCAAAGTTGTTTTTGTATTCCGTTATCCGGAGTTAAAATACAAAGTATTTCATTAGTACATCAGTAGAAAACCTTTGAGACGTATAATATCCATCGGCATGTTTGTGGAAGAAATCCCTAAAGAAACAAATTTTTTACAGTTTTTTAATCAATGAACCTTTTTCAAAAGAATAGACTAACCGATCATAATTCCCCCAAAACAACTTTAAGAAATCTGAAGAATAGAACCAGAGACATTGTGTCAGCCCGATCCGACCAGATGAATAAACTAAAGATGGCCTGAATTCAGCTTGATATTAAGAAATAGGAGTTCAGTCTGATGCAACTTTTCATTGCATATTTGAATAAAAACAACCAACTGTCTGCCCCACATGCCACCTCAGGTCTTTCCCCACCTTGTTGTAATATTTTAGCTGGTTTCACAATATGATAATCGACTCATTGTCAGATATATGAGTACAGAGGGGCAAGAGTCGATCAGAACATCGGTTACCAACTTTGGTGAAACCCTCGACTACAGAGCAGCTTTTCAACGCCTGCAAGAAAGGTGAGAAATAAATAAATATAATGCAAATATTATGTTTATTTTTGGGAAATCTTAGTTCGTATTCACTTGTCCAGTAAAACATATGTTGACATGCTCTCTATCTAAGATAGCATGTGTATTCTGTATACAAGAGTGCTAACTTTTATGTCCTTAAAAATATTCAAAATAAATGCATCATCTGATTTTTTTTCTTCAGCAAGATGAAGTTGGCTGTGGTATTCCTGGTGCTGTCCATGGTTGTGCTTATAGCTGAACCTGGAGAAGGATTTTTGGGAGTTCTTGCAGGACATGTTGTTGGAGGATGCATCAGGTAAGATCTTTAAGTTCTTGGTAACATTTAAAAAATCTTAAGGAACTAAAAGTAATATAGCTAAATTATACCAGTCGAGGCGGCTTATCGGAGCTGTGGTCGCAAGGTTGTCGGTGCCTGTCGTGGTGGCTACCCTCGAACCCGTTGGTGGACACCTTCGGTGAGGCATGCTGTCAGACTGAAGAAGGAGTCCTATCGGGTCTTTTTGGCCTGTGGGACTCCGGAAGCACTGATGGGTACCGGCAGGCAAAGCGGCTTGCGGCTCTGGTGGTTGCTGTGGCAAAACCTTGGGCGTGGGAGGAATTCGGAGACACCATGGAGAAAGACTTCCGTATGGCTTCGAGGCGATTCTGGTCCACCATCCGGCGTCTCAGGAGGGGGAAGCAGTGTAGCACCAACACTGTTTACTGTGGGGGTGGTGTGCTGCTGACCTCGACTCGGGATGTTGTGGGTCGGTGGGCGGAGTACTTCGAAGACCTCCTCAATCCCGCCAGCATGCCTTCCATTGAGGAAGCTGAGCCTGGGGACTCTGGGTTGGGCTCTCCAATCTCTGGGGACGAGGTCGCCGAGGTAGTTAAAAAGCTCCTCAGTGGCAGGGCCCCTGGGATGGATGAGATTCGCCCGGAGTATCTGAAGGCTCTGGATGTTGTAGGGTTGTGTTGGTTAACGTGACTCTGCAGTATTGCCTGGACATCGGGGGTAGTTGCCCTGGATTGGCAGACAGGGGTGGTGGTCCCCCTGTTTAAAAAGGGGGATCGGAGAGTGTGCTCCAATTATAGAGGGATCACACTCTTAAGCCTCCCTGGGAAGGTCTATTCGGGGGTACTGGAGAGGAGGGTCCGTCGGATAGTCGAACCTCGGATTTTGGAAAAGCGGTGTGTTTTTTGTCCTGGTCGTAGAACACTGGACCAGCTCTACACCCTCAGCAGAGTCCTGGAGGGTGCATGGGAGTTCGCCCAACCAGTCTACATGTGCTTTGTAGACTTGGAGAAGGCGTTCGACCGTGTCCCTCGGGGTGCCCTGTGGGGGGTTCTCCGGTGTATGGGAGTATGGGGTACCGGGCCCTTTGATACAGGTTGTTAGGTCCCTTTATGACCGGTGTCAGAGTCTGGTCCGCATTGCCGGCAATAAGTCGGGCTCGTTCCCGGTGAGGGTTGGACTCCGCCAGGGCTGCCCTTTGTCACCGATTCTGTTCATTACTTTTATGGACAGAATTTCTAGGCGCAGCCAGGGTGTTGAGGGGATCCGGTTTGGTGGCCTTGAGATTGCATCTCTGCTTTTCGCGGATGATGTGGTCCTATTGGCTTCATCGGGACATGATCTGCAGCTCTCGCTGGAGTGGTTCGCAGCCGCGTGTGAAGCGTCTGGGATGAGGATCAGTGCCTCCAAGTCCGAGACCATGGTCTTGAGTCGGAAAAGGGTAGAGTGCCTTCTCCGGGTCAAGGGAGATGTCCTGCCCCAAGTGGAGGAGTTCAAGTATCTCGGGATCTTGTTCACGAATGAGGGAAGGGGGGAGCGGGAGATTGACAGGCAGATTGGTGCAGTGTCTACCGTGAAGTGGGCGCTGTACCAGTCCGCCGTGGTGAAGAGAGAGCTGAGTCAAAAAGCGACGCTCCCGATTTACCGGTCGATCTACGTTCCTACCCTCATCTATGGTCATGAGCTTTGGGTAATGACCGAAAGAACAAGATCTCAGATACAAGCGGCCAAAATGGGTTTCCTCCTTAGTGTGGCTGGGCTCTCCCTTTGAGATAGGGTGACAAGCTCGGTCATCCAGGAGGGACTCAGAGTAGAGCCACTGCTCTTCCACATTGAGAGGAGCTAGTTGAGGTGGCTCGGGCATCTGGTTAGGATGCCTCCTGGACGCCTCCCTGGTGAGGTGTTTCAGGCACGTCCCACCAGGAGGAGGCCCCCGGGGAAGGCCCAGGATACGCTGGAGGGACTACATCTCTCGGCTGGCTTGGGAACGCGTCGGGATTCCCCCGGAGGAGCTGGAGGAAGTGGCTGGGGAGAGGGAAGTCTGGGCCTCCCTTCTTAAGCTGCTTCCCCCGCAACCCGACCCCGGATAAGCGGCAGAAGATGGATGGATGGATATACCAGATACTTTTTTAACAGTCATC